TCTGTGTGAGTGAGATCCCAGTGGAAAGAACAGGTCTTCAAAGAAGGAGGTACCTTTCTCTGAAGGGAGGAGAGAACCTCCACTTTGACTATGACCTTGTCTAAACAAGATAAGAGTCGGAGAACTCAAGGGGCTTCCATAGCCTTGGAAACTCATGACTGGTGCATAGGGAGATTACTGATGTCATAAACAGGAATGTCAATTTGTAAAGTCAACAACAGGAGTCACTGTGCACTTACTCCTCATGTAGGATCTCTGTCCTTAGCGTGCTGTACATTGAGGCTTAATGCTATAACGAGTACTCAAACAGTATATTTCACTTTGTGTTTCTAAGGGGGTACAAACTGTTGAAATCTTTACTTAATGTATACTAACCTGATCTTCTGTAAAAAAAAAAAAAAGAAATTATCAATTCCCAACTTGACTCTCACTGGGATTAAACATGACAATAGGTCTGATCTGATTTCATCATCATTTAAAAAAATCATCTATTATTTTTCACTTTATGTTTCTGTGTGGGAGCAAACTGTTGAAATCCTTACTTAATGTATACTAAGCTGATCTTCTGTATATTAAGATAATTGAAAATAAATCTTGATGTGAATGGAAGGGGAGAGGGAGTAGGAAAGGGGAGGGTTGTGGGTGGGAGGGACGGTATGGGGGGGAAGCCATTGTAATCCATAAGTCGTACTTTGGAAATTTATATTCATTAAATAAAAGTTAAAAAAAAGTGAAATGGACACTGTGAGAAACGGTGACTTGATCATCCCTTACCCTGACTGTTGATGAAAAACTTAATACTTTCTCCCTTTTTGTATTTTTTCTGTTTGTTCTACTTAATACTATTGGTTTAATTCTGTAATTAATACACAATTATTATTAAGTGTTGAAACTTAACTGAAAAGTGATCCCTGTTAATTATGAGTGGGAATAAGAGATATACAATTTGGGACATGCTCAAGCTGACTTGCCCCAAATGGTAGAGTTAGAAACATACCAGGGGATTCCAATTCAATCCCATCAAGGTGGCATGTACTGATGCCATCTCACTAGTCCAAGTGATCAATTTCTGTTCACAATTGATCATAATGATAAGACTAAGAGTCAAAGGGATCACACAACCAAGACTAGTGTCTGCAAATACTGATAGAACAACAAAGGGAGAGAACGATCCAACATGGGAAGCGGGATACACAGCAGACTCATAGAATGGCAGATGTCCTAAACAGCGCTCTGGCCTCAGAATCAGCCCTTAAGGCATGCGGATCCAGCTGAAAAGCCCATGAGAATATTTCAGTAGTTGTTTTTTTTTTGGGGGGGGGGTGGGCATAGCAGAGAGCAGAATCAGAAGTGGAGCAGCTGGGACTCGAACTGACACCCATATGCAAATTAAAACTACAATAAAATCTCCTACCTATAAGAATTGCTATTATAAAAAATGCAACAGTATCAAGTGCTAACAACAATGTGGAGACAAGGGAACTCTTTTACGATATTGATGAGAATGTAGATATCGGGGCAATCTTTACAGAAAGGTGCATAGTTTCCTCAAAAATCACAAAATGGAACTACTATATCATTGAGTTATCCCACTTCTGGGTATTTATATTTCTGTTATAATTTAATGCTTATGTGTTACAAAATTGGCATATTGATATCCTCACACCCAAGTTGATGATATTAGAAGATGGGACTTTTGGAAGATAATTAGGTCATGGAGTGGAGACCTCATGAATGGGATTTGTGTCCTCATAAAAGAAACTTGAGACTCCCTCATCATTTCTATCATGTGTGATTAGAGGGGAAAGTTGGCTCTCTATGAGGAAGTGGGCCTTAACCAGACACTGAATCTGATGGATCCTAGATTTCTATTCTTCTACAACTGTAAAAAAAAAAAAAAAAAAAAAAAAAACAAGCAATTTTACAAGGATGAAATACAAATGGCCAGCAGACACATGAAAAATAATGCTCAGGATCACCAATGTCTTTGACCTACACTCCCTTAAGTAGAAGAACAAGATTTATTCTTGTCAAAGCCTTTTTTATTTACTTTTTCTTTCTCTTAAAAAAGATGTATTTATTCATTTGAGAGGCAGAGCTAGAGGGGGGGGGAGGGAGAGAGTTCTTCCATCTTCTGGTTCACTTCCCAAAAGGCTGCAATGCCTGGAGCTAGACTGATCTGAAGCCAGGAGCTTGGAGAGGAGGTTCTTCCAGGTTTCCCCAATAGGTGCATGGACCCAAGGTCTTGGACCATCCTCTGTTGCTTTCCCAGGTGGATTAGCGAGGAGCTGGATCAGAAGTGAAGCAGGGGGAACATGAACCAGTGCTCACATGGGATGCTGGAACCACATTTTTATGCACTTTGGCCTCTTCTTATTTTCTTAGTGTAATGATAAGATTTATGGATTGCTTATGATTAGCAATACACAGTGTTTGGGAGGGGCATCATGTATATTAACCCAAAGTCCTCGTTTTGCTCTCCATTCAGTAAGATGTAGTGAAAATGAAGTCAACATCCCTATTCTATAGATATGGAATGAAGGATTAATAGCAGAATTATAACTACAATATTTATGTTTTGACTTTTCAAACTCTATCCTCAGGACTAAGCACACATATGCATTTGTAAATAGAACACTTTTTAATATTCTGATTAACAAAATAATGTTGTGATTCTTACAGAGATCAAAACTTTGTTTAAAGTAGTTGTGGACCTAAGAATTTATATATATATATATATATATATATATATATATATATATATATAAATACACACACATATATATATTATACACACACACACACATGCACACACACAAACACATACTGGTGAAAACTCAGACAGAAAAGGTAAAATCTATAGAGAAAGCTTCATTCTCACCCGGCACCACGGCTCAATAGGCTAATCCTCTGCCTGCGGCTCTGGCATACCGGGTTCTAGTCCCGGTCGGGGAGCCGGATTCTGTCCTGGTTGCCCCTCTTCCAGGCCAGCTCTCTGCTGTGGCCCGGGAGTGCAGTGGAGGATGGCCCAAGTCCTTGGGCTCTGCACCTGCATGGGAGACCAGGAGAAGCACCTGGCTTCGGATCAGCGCGAAGCGCCAGCTGCAGCGCGCTGGCCACGGTGGCCACTGGAGGGTGAACCAATGGCAAAGGAAGACCTTTCTCTCTGTCTCTCTGCCTGTCAAAAATAAAATAAAAAAATAAACGACTAAAGGTAAAATTGTTAGTAAAAAAGTACATAAAGCATAAAAATTTCAAAAAGTCTTAATTTATATATACTGGGAAAAAATGAGAAAGGTGTGAAAAAGGGTATGGCCAAGTGATCGTTTTATAGGGAAATTAGTATGGATCAAACACATCAGTGGAATCCAGGTGCTATTTGTCAAAACAGTGAGGAGATTATTCAGCCATCTAAACATCAGCTAAGGGTCTTGTCCAAAACATTGGGAAAATGACCCCAAGGGCATTTCAGAGACAGTAGGAACTGCCCCTGCCGTCAGCCCAAAGTGCCACATCTTGAGAGGTAGAGCACACAGTCAAAGATTATTCTTGAAGCTTGAGGACCTGGACTTGCTTGAGAACTGTCACTTCTTTCTGCTTTCCAATTTTCCCTTTTGGAATATGAATGAAGTCTGTGCTATGCCTGTCCCATTATATTTTGGATGCATACGGCATATTTTATTTCACATATTCATAACTGGACAGAATGAATTTTGTTCTTGAGTTTCACCCATATCTGACTTAGTTGAAAATTAGATTAGGCTTTAGGTTTGGATTTTAAAGTTCCTGCTGGAGCAAGTGAGACTTTGGGACTACTGGGATAGAATGAATACATTTTGATGTGAGAAGGACATGAATTTTGGAATGCCAAGAGCAATGTTGTGGTCTGAATGTTTATGCTTGACGTCCCCCAACCCCCAATTCATAGGTTGAGATTCTCACTCCCAAGGTGATGGTATCAGGAGGGGAGGCTCATGAAGTGATTTGGTGATGGAACAGAACCCTCCTGAATAAGATGTTTCTTTCTTTTTTTCTTTTTTTTTTGACAGGCAGAGTGGACAGTGAGAGAGAGAGACAGAGAGAAAGGTCTTCCTTTTGCCGTTGGTTCACCCGCCAATGGCCGCCGTGGCCAGCGCCGATCCAAAGGCAGGAGCCAGGTGCTTCTCCTGGTCTCCCATGGGGTGCAGGGCCCAAGCACTTGGGCCATCCTCCACTGCACTCCCTGGCCACAGCAGAGGGCTGGCCTGGAAGAGGGCAACCGGGACAGAATCTGGCGCCCAGACCGGATTAGAACCTGGTGCGCCGGCGCCGCAAGGCGGAGGATTACCCTATTGAGCCATGGCGCCGGTCCAAGATGTTTCCTTACAAAAATGAGTCCCAAGAGAGACTCCTTGTTACTTCTGCTGAGATCAGAGTAAGAGGTAAATGTTTATAAGGAAGAGGCCTTCACCAGACAGTAAGTGTCCGGAATTCAGTTGTGGACTTATGAGCCTCCATAACTGAAACATAAATTTCTGTTGCTCTTCAGCCGCATTACTCATGGTGGTATTTTGTTATAGAAGCTCAAATGGACCAATAGTCATGGAAAGGAGCCAGTGCTGTGACACAGCAGATAAAGCCACCACCTATAGCGCCAGCATCCCATATGAGTACTGGTTCAAGTCCCAGCTGCTCCTCTTCTGATCCAGCTCTCTACTGTGGCCTAGGAAAGCAGTGGAAGATGGCCCAAGCCCTTGGGCCCTTGTACGCATGTGAGAGACTCAGAAGAAGCTCCTGGCTCCTGGGTTTGGATTGGCCCCACTCCTGCTGCTGGGCCCATTTGTGGATGGAAGACCTCTCTCTCTCTCTCTCTCTCTCTCTCTCTCTCTGCTTTTTCTGTGGGAAGATTAAGTTCTAGAGATCAGAGATGTAGAGTGTGGTGACTGTTGTTAAAATTTCTGTCCTGTATCTTTGAGATTTTCTAAGAAAGTAATTCTTTTTTAAAATTTTTAAAAAATTTTATTAATATAAAGAGAACAGATTTTATGCATTCCATAAGTACAGCTCCAAGAAGACAACCACACTTCCCTCACTTCTTTGTTCCCTCAATCCCACCTCCCTCCCCTCTCTTCATCAGTTTTTGCAAAAACACAATTTTAATCCTCTCTATATTCACAGGCTTAATTCATTACTAATCATAATATTTAACAGGTAAAAAGTAGGTAGAACATAGTCCCACAAGAGTATAAACAAGGGATGAATGACTTTTCATGCACCAAAAAAGATTAAAAAAACAGGTAAATATGTCAATAATATAGGAATTATTTTGATTTAATAATTTCAAGATATGTGTGCACATATCATATCATAAAGTATAAGCAGACATATTTTTTCAATTTTACCTTATTAAAACTTGTGTATTGGGGAGGTATAATCACAGAAAATATACAATTCACCACATTAACAAATCATAGTACAATAAAGAGAAACAATTAAAATTACATTACTCCTTTCACCTTCTGCCAGCTTTTAAAAAGTACGTCCTTAATCTGGTTAACGACTTCTTCAGGTACATTATGCTCAGCTTCTTCCATTATATTTTTAAGTTCTTTATTATATTTCAACTTTACATCTTTTATTTTTTCAGCCTTTTCTTGCTCTGATTTAAGACTACGATCATTTTCTATACGTCTAATTTCATTCTTTAACCTATCATCAAACATTTCCTTCAAAACTGCTACTTGTCGTTTCAGTGTCTCCACTGTGTCCTTGTATATGTCCACAGAAAAATATTCCGTTCCGTTTCCCCGTGCCATCTTCTCTATCATATCCACCAGCTCCTGCACCTGACTCTCCTTCTCAGCCTTGTCTGCTTTGTTGTTAATGGCGTAGCAGCGGCCCCCGCACTCCTGGATGACGCTCTTCAGGTTCACATCTGCATTCGCTATAAAGCCATCCAGGGTCTGATCCTCCAGCTCGTCTAGGCGGGTAAACAAGATGATCATGTGCTTCATCGCTGACTCCCCAAAGACAGCCTTGATCAGTGCAACAGTGTTTTGATCTTCTTGCGTGTAGCGGCCCAGCCGCATAACCAGGAGAATGGCGTGAGGCCCTGGGCAGGAGAAGAGGACGCACTTGCTGATTTCTTTGCAGGTTTTATCCAGTTCCTCCTTAGTGTCAAAGAGCCCCGGGGTGTCCACAACAAGGAGTTCTGTCCCCTTCCATTCCCGGGATGCTTTTTGACAGGTCTTGGTAAGGGATTGGGAATCTATTCCATATGTAAAGACTTTGTCTCCAAGGATGGTGTTTGCTGTCGCACTTTTCCCACTTCCAGTTTTCCCTACCAGAACGATCCTCAAAGCGCTATTTTGATGGCCAGCCATGTCTATGTAAGGACGCTTGGGAACTTAGGCACCTATAGACCCTAAGGAAGGAAGGGAAGGGAAAAAGGCCAATTTAGTGAGTAGGAATTATTCCCAGTCCTTTTTTCTTGTCGTTGTTGAAAATCTGTAATATTTGCTTATGCATAGTCATCTCAGTGAAGATGGAAAGATGAAGCAGCCCAATTAGTAAGGAAGAAATACTAGTGTAAAGAATTCTCTAACAAAAGAGTATCAGGTCCAGGTTGTTTAACAATGAAACCCTATTAAAATTTTCAATATCATTGTTTCAATACTACTTAAACTGTTCATGACGGTATAGTAAGCAAAGCAGCATTCTTTGAATCAAATATGATATTGATTCTAAAAACTGATAAAGATTTCACCAGTAAAGAAGCTACAAGTGTGTTTCATTTGTAATACTGATAACAAAAATCCAGTTAAATTATGAAACATTAATGAACAATATACTTTGATTAGGTGTGGTTTATTTAAGAACTATAAGGTTGGCTCGGTATGATAAAATGGATTGTTACAACATATCCTATTAATACCTTAATAGGAGAATTAACTAAAAATGTCTAGTTGATTGAATTTAAAATTGATTTGTGTTTGAAGAATTTTATAAACTGTGAATTAATACATACTTCTTTAACATGAGTTATGTAAATATATATTTTAAAACTTTTGTCATCAATTTTTGGTTGGCTGTATTTCAGAAAGCTGACAATAAAGTTCATTAAGATGACAGACCTGTTTTACCAGCAAGAAAAACATCATGACTACTGTAATTAAAGAACTGTGATGCTGATGAGTGAATACAGACAGAATGAGGAGAAGGAAACAGAAGACTCACAAATGGACTGTTGTTCCTAATGTATTTGCCTATATTCAATTCAGCTATGTTACATTTACATTCTGTAAAGTAGTATATCATATCAGTGGAGAAAAGACAATTTTATAAGCAAATTGGGATAATTGTATAATCATGGAAACAAAAAAATTGCAACCATTTCCTCGTACCATTTGATTTAAAAATAGACTTGAGTTATAAATGTAAAAGAGCTATATAAATTACTAAAAAAATCTATAAATTCTTTGTGCCTGGGGGTGGTAGACTAAAATGGTAAGGGTGAAAAAGATATTTGATGCTAAAGGAAAGCAAAAATAGGAAGATGTTGCCATTATAATATCAGACAAAATATACTTTAATACAAAAAACTGTTTTAAAAGGAAAAGAAGGGCATTATGTGATGATTAAGGGATCAATTCAACAGGAATATGTGACTATAATAAAAGTATATGCACCCAATGCCAGGGTGGCTGACCATTTAAAAGAAAAATTAATGAATGTAAATAGAAACATGAACTCCAATACAATAGTAATGGTGGCCTTTAACACTTCACTTTCATCAACTGACAGACCAAGAAGACAGAAAATCAACAAACAACAGAGCTGATCTACACTATGGACCAAATGGACCTAACTGATATCTGGAGAACCTTTCATTAAAAAGCTACGGAATACACATTTTCATCAGTGCATGGAAATTTCTCTAGGATAGACGATATGCTAGGCCATAAAGCAAATCTCAGCAAATTAAAAAAAATGAAATCATACCATTTACCTTTTTTGTCCACAATGGAATGAAGTTGAAAATTAACAACTCAAGAATCTCTAGAAAATGTGTAAACACATGAAGGCTGAACAGCATGTTCCTGAATGAACAATGGGTCATAGCAGAAAAAAATCATGGGAGAAATTAAAGAATTCCTGAAAATGAGCAAATATAACAATACAACATATAAAAATTGAGGGGACACAGCAAAAGCAGCAGTAAGAAGGAAACTTATAACAAACAGTTGGTCACTGCATCAAGAAATTAGAAAATCATCAAAGACATAAGCTCTCAGTGCATCTCAAGGACCTAGAAAAACAACAACAAAAAAAAACCTCAAAATTACTAAGAGTAAAGAAAAATTAAAATTAGAGAAACAGCCTGGAATTGGTGTAGAAATAGACATTTGATCAATGGAACAGAATAGAAACTCCAGAAATTAAAACGTGCATCTACAATCAACTAATCTTTGACAAAGAAAATAAAATGAATGCTTGGAGAAAGGGCAGTCTCTTCAACAAATGGTGCTGGGAAAATTGGATCTATACATGCAGAAATATGAATCAAGACCCCTACCTTCACTTCATACAAAAATCAACTTAAAATGGATCAAGGATCTATATCTATGACCTGATACCACCAAATTACTAGAGGATAACATTGGGGAAACTCTGCAAAATTGGCATAGGAAAAGTCTTCTTGGAAAAGACCCCAGACACACAGTCAATCAAAGCCAAAGAAGACAAATGAGATTACATCAAACTGAGAAGCTTCTGCACTGCAAAGGAAACACTCAGCAAACTGATGAGGTGACAGAACAGGAGAAAAACTAGCAAACTATGAAACTGATAAAGAATTAATATCCAGAATCTATAAAAAGCTCAAGGAATTCAACAACAACAAAACAATCCAGTTAATCAATACACAAAAACTCGAACAGGCATTTTTCAAAAGGGAAAATTCAAATATCTGACAGACACATTAAAAATAGCTCAAGATTGCTCATCAGGGAAAGGCAGATAAAAAATACAGCAAAGTTTTACTTCGTCCAAGTTAGAATGGCCATTATCCTAAAATAAAAAAAAATACATTCTGTCAAGGATGTGAGGAAAGGGGCACCCTAATACACTGTTAGTGACAATGTAAACTAGTATAGCCATTATAGAAAACAGTATGGACATACCTCAGAAAGCTGAAAATAACTATACCATAAGACGTAGCAATGTTACTACTGGTAATTTACACAAAAAAATGAAATCAGCATATGAAACAGTTATCTGAACTCCCACGCTTATTGCAACGGAGTTCACAGTAGCTAAGATATGCAATCAACGTAGATACTAATCAACTGATGACTGGGTAAAGAAATTGTCTATGTGTGTGAGTGCTTGTGTGTGCATTTATTATGGATTACTACTCAGCCATAAAAAAGAATGAAGTACTGCCTTTTGCAACAAAGAGGATGCAATTAGAAACCATTACACTTAGTGAAATAAGCCAGCCCCACTCAAAAAGGCAAATACCATATGTTTTCCCTGGTCTGTGGTAACTAATAGAGTATCAAAAAATGTTATCTATAGGAGCATAAATGCATTTTGAGATTCAGTTATTGTTTACAGTCCTTGTATCTTCTGTTGAGGAACAATATTTTTTCTTCTTACTATTTAGTGGGCACTTTACTTAGCTTGGGTTAATCTTATGAGTATAAAGGAAACTGAAAGTAGATCACTGTAACAAATTAAGAGATAGATTAAAATGAGGAAGAAGGAAAAAGTATGAGAATAGGGCAAGGGAGGGGTATTGTGGGAAGTATCACTATGTTCCCAAAGCTGTATATTTGAAATACATGAAATTTGTAAAATAAAATAAAATAAGGCTTAAAATAAAATATAACAAAATTCAGTGAGAAACAAATCAAAAAACTGAATAAAACAAAAGACAAAGACAGACTTATTTGATTAAATAAATATTTAAATTAATATTATAAGCAAAAAACACAATTGACACTTTAAATGCAAATATCCAACTAAGGAAATTGTTTTTTGAAATTTATAGCAAACATATCTTTTTTCTTTTATACAAAGAATATCTAATAGTAGAAAAACCAAAGACCAACATCTTCATAGAAACTTGAGCAAGTAATATGAATGTGCATTTCAAAGAAGACATGAAAATGTCCCTGGGATATAAAGAATTATGTTAAATTAAATCATAAAAGAGAAAAAAATGAAAAACAAGTCAATATACTCTTTCTCAAGTATGGATATGACAAAGTCCAAAAGTTTGTCAACACAACCTGTTGGAAAAGGTTTGGGGAAATAGATTATCTCCAGTGAATAGTGGGAATGGAAAAATAGCCCAATACTTTCAGAGAAGTTAATGATATCTTTCAAAAACTGCATATGCATTTATTCTTTGATTATCAATCCAAATTTTAAGACTTACTTGAAAGCTACACAGAAAAAATACCAAGGATATATGAAGGTACCTCAAATAATTCATAGAAAATGGAATTAAAATACATTTATATTGATGGGATTTCAGTTTCAAAAAATTGAAATCAATGTACACTTTTTAAATAATATACATTATTCATAAACTTTCTGAAGATACTTTTATTCAATTTATGCAGCACTAATTGCAATATCAAAAAATAAAAAACCTATCAAATGATCATCAGTATGGGATCAGCTGAATAAACCAGGGTGTATTCACACAGTGAAGCATTATCCAAATGTAAAAAGGAATGTGAACTGTCTCTATATACAAATAAGGAGTGATCTTCAGGATATGTTGTTGAGTGAAGAAAAAAATCAAAGTAGAAAAAAATAATGTATATTTTATCACATTTTATATGAAAAAGAGGAACATGGGTTAGATACATAAATGACTTTTCATATATATGTGAAAACACAGTGGAAGAATAATCTGAGAAAAAGTTACTACATGAAGATGGAAGAAATGGGTGAAGACAAGGAAAGATACTAAAAACTAGACTTTGAATATGATTTTTTTGTATATTTAGACTTAAGATCATCCAGTTTACAGCCAACATTATATTTTTAAAAGCAGGAAAAAATCAAAAGCAACCAACAAATTAACCTATGTTTTATGTGATAAATGAACTACATAAAAAACTGATCCAAGAGTCTTGAAAATGCAGTCATTTCACTGTCCATGTCTAATGGAATATAATCTAAGGAGACAGAGGAAAAACCCTACAAGAAGTCTTAAAATATTTTCAGGAATTGTGTTTATTGTTAGAGTGTCTGTGTGTGAATTTCAAAGTCCATATAAAAGACATAAACAATGACCAACACAATACCAGTGAGCACACTGAATACCCAGATTGTGGTCTTCAAGTGTTATTTCTCACTCAAAAAATTAGGGCTCTCCAAATAAATTTATGATTTTAGATCTTGGACAATAAATAACCAAGTTCAACCTGGAGCTCTTTTCACTAAAAAGCAGGTATAGTATAAAAAGTTACTGCAAAATTCAAGAAAAAAGAAAAGAAAGGAAGGAGATGGGGGGTGGGGAGGAAAGGAAGTATATTATCTTCTTAGAATTGTTATCAATTAAATGCATGAAATCTGTTCTTTTTATATTAATAAAAATTTTAAAAGGAATTACAGTGCCATCAAAGGGACTCAGTAACTACAATGAAGAAGCTACAACTGGAAAAAGATGGAGCACTTTCATCGTCAGTAACAAAAATCAAGTCTAATTGCTGAAATATACAAACGTGTTGAAATTCAGTAGTTGGGAGCAATGTCATCTTCCTAAAGAAAATTAATTTCTCCCTTTGCAGTGTGCTTGGAAAGCAACTTATCACTATGAACATGGACAAGTAAAGGGGGAAGTAAAGCACTTTTTAGGTTTTTCCCATATTTTATCTTTTAATTATGTCTCAAGAGAATGAAAGAATTGCTGAAGGGAAGTTACTTTGTATATTAAAATTATTGCATCTAATAAATGAAGAAAATAATCAAATTAGTCTATCATCATTTGGAAATGTTTGATGAAACATTAAATTCATTCTAGGCAGTCATTGATGCCTACTAACACCACAAAAGAAGAGACAACCAACATTATGTGTTTTCTAATAGAAGTTTACCACTTATACCCATGAAGCATTCCACCAAAAAAAAAAAAAAAAAAAGGCAAAACTTAATCTGATTGAATGGCTCCCCAAGTATGAATTCACAAAAGACACTAGAACTACAGGACTGTAGTAAATGGCATTATTTTACCAGCAAAATGAACTCTTAATTCTTTTAGCTTTTCTCCCTTTCTTAAGTTTGCCTAGGGTAACTATGCATACAGTTACTGGGCAGAGCAAGGATTTGATGTGAGGTCCATCGACTCCCCTCCACTCACTTGTAACCTTCCTCACCACCCCCGCGTCATGGGTTCTTCTCAGTCTATGCGTGTAAGCATCATTTTACATCTTATCCAGGATAGACTTTGGGCATATAGTGAGGTACTCACACTGTCTCTAGAAGGGTGAACTGGGAACAAGTCTGTGACAGGTAGGGCCAGAAGGAGGGCCTCAGTGCCTCAGTGGGCTTTCCTCCATAGTGACAAGCCAACATTGAGAGGCAAAGTCAGAAAAATATCTTTTAAGAACTTTCTCACAGAATACCCAGAGGACCTGCAGCTAACAGAAGGGTGCACAAAAGCATACTTCAGATGTGGTCAGACCTAATCTGTGGCACAGGCCTAGAACGTCTAAAATATGCCTTAAGTTCTTTGATAGTCAGCTCCTCTGTGATGATAAAACCTACTGGGCATGATGTGAGGCCTTCCTAGAGGAGGTTCTGCAGATGTGCTGCAGAGCACAGCACGCACTGATTGCAAAAGTAGTTGCTACAAAATACTATTGGCATGTGAACACACACACATCAAAAACACTGAAGAATTGAAAGCCATATTGCTCCTTTGGCATTTATCAGATTGAACTACTTCATTGTAGCCTGAGAAAGAAATGTGTGGTAGGAAGGTTGAGAAAGTAACTAATCTGCTCCCATAGCACTCCCTCCTCCATTTCACAAGTTGCATTGTTAAGGACACAACTTATGTCTGCTACCTGTTGGAAAATAGTGTGCAAACTAAATTTTATCATCTTCTATCATCAGTGAACTGGATAAGACATGGAGAATGACCAAATCCTGGGATTCTTATTTTCTTTTTGAATAAAATAGAGATTTAGATGGTCCCTAATAAATTTTCTAGCTCTAAAAATTCACTATGGGAGCACTTACTTTCCTATTAAGATTGCCAAGCAATGCTAAGTGTTTATCACCACAGCCATTAGGAAAGGCACCCTATTCAGCAAAAGTTTGTCCTGTTAAATATGAGATGTATGAACACCATGATAGAAAAATACCTTACTCCCTCCCTTCCACCCATCTGTTACCACCTTGGAAACATCTTTGAATAGTGCATTACCTATTATCACCATTTATTTTCCCTCCATGGATCAGAATCCACTGCACTCAAGTGCCCTGTTCCCTACTGCCCCTCCCAGCTCTGTCATTCTGGGTCCTCTTCTCAGACAGGCTCACCTTCTTTTGTACAAGCTGGTGAGTTCTCAGGTTCTCCAGAGAGGCTCTTTTAGCTGGTGCTGCTGCGATGACTGTAGGGGAAGTGTTTGCCCTCCCCACAGCTTCTGTATTCAGGAAGCTCAGCTTGGGTGGAGCCAGTGAAGGCAGCATTTGCCTTTAAAGAAACAGAAATATTGCTCTATAATTTGGTAGCTGCTTCTAATTTTAAAAGTTGACACCTTATTTCCATGTGCCTGAAATAACACCAAAATTTCCAAAGCTAACCTTTCTTTTTTGTTGTTTTATTTTCTTTTTTAACTCCAATAAATATAAATTTCCAAAATACAACTTTTGAATTATAGCGGTTTTCCCCCCCATAACCTCCCTCCCACCTGCAACCATCCCATCTCCCACTCCCTCTCCCATACCATTCACATCAAGATTCATTTTCAATTATCTTTACATACAGAAGATCAATTTAGTATACACTAAGTAAAGATTTCAAAGACTGCACCCACACAGAAACACAAAGTATAAAGTACTGTTTGAGTACTAGTTATACTATTAATTGACATAGTACAACACATTAAGGACAGAGATCCTACATGGGGAGTAAGTGCACAGTTACTCCTAATGTTGATTTAACAATTGACACTCTTATTTATGATGTCAGTAATCACCCGAGGCTCTTGTCATGAGCTGCCAAGGCTATGGAAGCCTCTTGAGTTCACCAACTCCAATCTTATTTAGACAAGGCTACAGTCAAAGTGGAAATTCTCTCCCCACTTCAGAGAAAGGTACTGTGGGATCTTACTCGCAGAGATCTTTCATTTAGGTCATTTGCATTTCATGCATAGAAAGCTTACCTTTCTTAGAGTGACAGTAATGGATCCAAAGGGCCAAATTAGGTGACCCAAATATATTCTAGAAAGCAAGTCACAGTATCTGATGGTCATTCCTGGGTGCGGAAGGAGACTGAGGGATGGTCTGGGGAGGAGGGTACATTGGCATGTACCTTGGTATTTCCAAGCACAGAGCTGAGTGTATGTTTTGGTGATTGTATTCTTGGGTTTTATTACTTACTACAGTCTTTTAGGAAGGTATCAACTTGTGTTAAATTAACAGTATTGACTACAAAACCAAAAGGATCTAATACATGAGAAACAAATACAAAAATTAAAAAAGGTAGATGAAGCCTGGAAAAATCATAGCCATTGCCCATAGAGCTTCTTGACTTTTTATTTTTTATTAAGTTTTTAATTTATTAAATGGAACAAACAAATTTCATGTATCTCATAAATTAGATTTTTAAAAAGATTTATTTATTTACTTGAGAGGCAGAGAAAGAGAGAGAAAGAGAGAAATAGAGGTCTTCCATCCACTGGCTCACTCTCCAGATGGCTGCATTAGCCAGAGTTGTGCTGATCCAAAGCCAGGAGCCAGGAGCTTCTTCTGGATCTTCAACGTGGGTTCAGGGGCCCAAGGACTTAGGCCAACTCCTACTGCTTTCCCAGGCCATAGCAGAGAGCTGGATTAGAAGTGGAGCTGCCCAGAATTGAACTGGAGTCCATATGGGATGCTGGCACCACAGGCAGCAGCTTTGCCCCCATACCTATGGTTTTAAGAACATAATGAGGCCGGTGCCATGGCTCACTAGGCTAATTCTCTACCTGTGGCACTGGCATCCTGGGTTCTAGTCCCGGTTAGGGTGCTGGTTCTGTCTCATTTGCTCCTCTTCCAGTCCAGCTCTCTGCTGTGGCCTGGGAAGGCAGTGTAGAAAGGCCCAAGTCTTTGGGCCCTGCACCCGCATGGGAGACCAGGAAGAAGCACATGCCTCCTGTCTTTGGATCGTCACAGTGCGCTGGCCATAGTGGCCATTTGGGAGGTGAACCAACGGAAAAAGGAGACTTTTCTCTGTCTCTCTCACTGTCTAACTCTGCCTGTCAAAAAAAAAAAAGAACAAATAACACTTCCCACCCCATCCTCCCTCGCTGATTCGTTCACACCCTACCCTACCTCCTATTTCATTTCTTATTTTTCTTTTAATTATGTGATAATATACTTTTTTCCTTTGAGAAAATTTTTACCATGCAATAGAGTTGGACACTTAGGCATAACTAAAGCTTATAAGACATAAGAATATCTTCCACTCAATACACTAAAACAAAGTAAATCTTTGAAAACAAGTTTTACTATTAACTCTCATAATCCAAGTCTTTGAGCACATAGGTCCTGAATGGGAAGTTAGTGCAGAGTAACTCCTGTTAATATAACAGTTGGCATTCTTATATATGACGTCAGTGATCACCTGAGGCTCATGATATGAACTGCCTAGGCTATGGAAGCATATTGAATCCACCAACCCCTTCAATAATTTAGACAAGGCCATAAGCAAAGTGAAAGTTCTCTTCTCCCTTTAGAGAAAAATACATCTTTTTTGATGACCACTCCATTCCACTGAGGTCTCACCCACAGAGGTCATCCACATTAGGGACACTATTTGCCACAGTATCTTGGCTTTCCTTGCCTGAAATACTCTCATTGGCTTTTAAGCGAGACCAGAGTGCCTTAAAGGCTGATTCTGAGATCAGAGTGCAACTTCAAGTGATGGCCTTTCTATTAGTCAGCTGTATGGTCTCCTTCCCATATTGGAGCAGTCACACATTTTTGATTCCATTATTACCAAACAATTAATCCTGTGTGTGTGATCACTCTAATACTTTATCCTATCTATATGATCACTTTAATGCTTAATCTTATCCCTATAATCACTTTATCACTTTAAATGCTTTTTTTAACCACCACCCCCCACTTGGGATTTGTCCTCTCATGGCAAGTTTTGAAACTCTACCCTTAGAAGGAAGTCTACAGGAAATTATGCAGAACTATACAGCTTTACAGTTACAATTTCGTACATTTTATAATTACCGCTTTTGTAACATGGTGATTCTTCCCATGGTGCCCGCCCTCCTGCCCACACTCCCACCTCCTTTCCTCCTCCCTCTCTTATTTCTACTCTTTTTTTTTTAACTAAGATCTATTTTCAATTAAGTTTATACACATGTTCTTAACTGTATATTAAATAAAGCATTCAGCAAATAGTATGAAAGAGAAAAAAAATACTGTTCCTCAATTTTCAAGACATGCATCCTCAAAAACATTGCAGGAGATTGTCATGCAGTTGTTTTGTTTTGTTTTGTTTTTGACAGGCAGAGTTAGACAGTGAGAAAGAGACAGAGAGAAAGGTCTTCTTTCCATTGGTTTACCCCCCAAATGGCTGCCATGGCCGGCGCAGTGCCGATCCAAAGCCAGGAGCCAGGTGCTTCCTCCTGGTCTCCCATGCGGGTGCAGAACCCAAGCACTTGGGCCATCCTCCATTGGCTTTCCAGGCCACAGCAGAGAGCTGGACTGGAAGAGGAGCAACCAGGATAGAACTGGTGCCCCAACTGGGACTAGAACCCAGGGTGCCTGCGCTGAAGGAGGAGGATTAGCCTAGTGAGCTGTGGCGCTGGCATGTGGTTCTTTTAGTGTGAAAATATGCATGATCTGACAAGTAAAGATACACCCAGAGAATATAACCTACTTGTTGTTTTTGCTTCCTTCTACCTCAGGCTTAGATAGGTGTAGATTCTGGTCTGCTCTGGAAATGTGTAATTATGTATTAATTTTGGGTTTTATTTTTTAAGATTTATTTATTTATTTGAAATTCACAGTTGCACAGAGAAAGTAGAGGCAGAGAGAGAGAGAAAGAGAGAGAGAAAAAAAGAGAGAGAGAGAGAAAGAGAGAGAGAGAGAGGTCTTCCATCCGATGACTCACTCCCTAATTGGCCACAATGGCTGGAGCTGCACCGATCTGAAGCCAGGAGCCAGTAGATTCTTCCAGGTCTCCCACACAAGTGCAGAGGCCCAAGGACTTGGGACATCTTCTACTGCTTTCCCAGGCCATAGCAGAGATCTGGGTTGGAAGTGGAGCAGCTGGGACTTGAATCAGCGACCATATTAGATGCTGGTGCTTCAGGCCAGGGCTTTAACCTGCTGTGCCATAATGCCGGCCCCAATTTTGGGTTTTATTTGAAAGCAGAGAGAAACCTCCCATCTGCTGGTTCACTCCCCAACATGCTCACAGCAGCCAAGGCATGTCCTCCCTTACATGTTGAAGCTAATATTTTAAAATAAACAAAAAGAAGGAATTTATGTTTGTATCAGTATTGCTGTAAATATAGTTTTGTAAAACTTTCTTTTATTCTTTTGTCAAACCACTAGTTAAGAATGTTATTCTAATACAGTTTTAGTGATCTCTGATTACTTTAAAATTTACTGTACATGGGTGAAATTGTTATTTTTCCATTCAATTTTAGTTTATAGCCATTGTCTATATTCCCATTAAAATCTTTTTGCTTTTTATTTGTTAAATTTATTATTCCAGGAAGTATTAAGCTTTTTTACTGTTATGTAAATTTTAAATGTTACCTCAAAACTAAAAAAAGAAAGGAGATGGAAGGATGGTGGGATGGAGAGTTGGGTAGGGAAGGAGGAAAGGAATATCACTATGTTCTTAGAACTGTATCTATAAATCACATTGAATCTGTTAAAACTGAATAAAAGAAAAATTTTTTAAAAAAGAAATCAAGTTCTCACATATTGAGCAGATTATTTGTAACAAAAAAGGTACAGGACTGGTTATAAAAGCACACTTGAAGCCAGATCCAACAAGGGAAACATTGATCAAATTCTTATAAAATAGGTAAGTGCCTACCCCCTTCAAATGGTGATAGTTCTTTTCATTCTGTCATTCAGTCTCATTATCAAACAAGCCTCTGCTTTCTTCCAGTGCCTACTTGAAGACTCTGCTGTAAAAATCCAGACAGAACTTTTTTCTGCAGTAGAGAAGCACTGTCTTGGAACCTCATGCAGTGTACTAGGTACTCTGTTCTGTAGAAACAAAACCAGTTTGTGCTGTCTTGTTTTGGCAGCATGAACAAAAAAGACAGGGTCATGATGAGCATTTTTGAGGGTCTGCTATGTTCAAAACACTAGTCTTTATGTCATTATATCTTCATTTTTCATAAAGTATAAAATGGTATGGACAAGAACTATGACTGGAGTTTTAGGTAGGCAGAGCTCCACCAAAACATTGTGTTAATTGTTTTGCAAGAAGAGATAAAGAGAGGAAGA